AACAACAGGAGACACCGCAAGCACAGCTACGGGACGGAAAAGGAACGGGGATGCACCGCTAGGCTATTCGGGACGAACAGCCTTAAGGAGGGAGCAGTGTGACATGTTGCGCAAAGGAGAACCCCCCCCAGCAGGAGTGACGTGGCGGGTGAGTCAGTGCTCCCCTCCCCCTCCTCCACACGGTAACGTAACGGTGACGCAACAGGATGACGTGGCAATGATTCCTACTGTGACGTGGCACGCAACAGGCACCACTGCGGATATATAAGGGAACTGCACAGCAGCTACCAGTCAGTTGTACTGTGACAGCCGGCGAGTGGTAACGTAACAGTTGCCGAGTCAGGTTATAACGTGCCCATCGCCGAAGATATTTCTGAGCAAGCCTACGAGCTAGTGTGTTATCAACAGTTCTCCAGTCAGCCGACTACAGTTGGAGTATAGCAGCCGTCGCGGAAAGAAGATCCAGACATGTGTGTGATTGTGTAATTGGGAGTGTGTGTGATACAGTGATACATAGCTCCCCTACTGTAAACGTGTAGACTACTGAACACAGAGTGAGCTGATTTGCGCATAGGGTTATAAAGTGTGAAACCCCGCAACTGTATGATAATTAATTGTAGCCGTTTCTTGTAGATTGCTGAATAAACCAATTAACGATCTCTACGGCGTCTGCAGTAACGAAACACGTTACAATATATATTATACCTCAATCTCATCAATGTTTATCTTCTTGAATTCTTTCTGCATCTGCTTAACTCCAGTCTTCATAGCAGCCACTGTGGCGTGCGTATCTTTAAGTGTCTGACATGCATAATTGGCCTGCTCCATGTTGAACGACTGTTGTTGCAGGTTCTCCATTTGCTGTTCATACCTGTTAAACAAAATAATGTGACTCAAATAATAAATTAAATGTATGGAGAGACGTGAGAACCAGTGTGGCTCAACCAGCATGGTGATTGCACGTTGGAAAACTGCAGATTTGTTGTTTGACTGTTGGTGAGCCAAGGATTTTCTCTTTGCTGGTTCTTGGGTCACCCAGCCTTTTACTTAATGAGTACTATGGGGTCTTTCTCTGGGGATAAAGTGGGAAAAACAAATGTATAAGAGTTTATTTTATTATGGCCCTCCTCCATATTAAGACTGAGAAAAAGAATGCCTAATATTTAATGAGATGATAACATTTACATCTTGCTTGTTGCATATATGCATGAAATCCAAAGGCTTTTATTGGAAACAAACAAGTTACTGAAAAGCAAACTTCTGATTATCTACTTTTCTGCAGCAAAAGACTCTTTACATGAACTTACATCTTCTTCTGCTTCAGTATTCTAAATGCTTTCTGCCTAACAGCATTTCTTGCAGGTCCTTGTCTCATCTTCTTCATCTGATCTCCATATTTCTTAAGTTCGGCATCTAATCGAGCAATCTTCTTGCCAACTGATTCAGCTCTGCTATCAACCTTTAAAAAGCACAGTGATCAGACAAAATTTAATAGGAACTCCATTTATTCTTAACCTAGATATGTTACTTCTGACAGGACAATATTTTGTGGCAGTACCAGGAAGGAAACATGAACATCAATGAAGGGATTTCACATGGTAAATATGAAGTTAATTGGACACTATCAACTATTATTTCTTGTCACATTGCAATCTGGTGATCTGTGACATTCAATCTCCATCATATTGCAAACATTCACTATCAAATGAACCTATAACAGAGAGATGAATGTTGTCCTACCAAGGAGACAACATGAATTGCTAAACCCAAATTTATAACAACATTATGTACTTCATTTTCATCAGTAATCTGTCATACGACAGGTCCACAGTCTCTTCCAAAACAGTTCCTCCACTTAATGTGATCTAGAGCTTCCTCCTTCAAATAAAAATATCCTCTTCTGCCCCCAAGGTCATCCAGCATCTTCTTACGTCTCTTTCCTCATCTTCTGGTCACATACATGGTATCTCTGTTTTCGGAAAGATTCCATCCAGGAAAAGTGTTAATGTGGTAGTTTTTCCATTTGCTTTCCACATCGCAGTACAACAGCCGTTCAAACCACTCTGGTTATGCCTGTTGCTATACGAACTTGAACCATCTCGAGCATCATTTGCTCTGTGCTTCAAGTCGCTGCTGATGACGCTGCTTCCGGCATCAGTTTTTGGCGTCTCTCTTCGTCTGATGCCTACCCTTTGACCTGTCCAGCAAGGGAGGCCCTGCCAGTAGCTACGCTATCGCTGGTATAGCTCTAAGGGTCCTTGGCATACTCAAACCCCCTCACCACGATAAGGTGGAGACACCAACGAGGGGTTTTTACTCCAAACGAGTAAAAATATAACTTCAATATAAAAAAAGACATGTACTCTACAGAAAATCACCTACTTCAGCGGTTAATTCATACTATATGGTTCTTTGTATAAATCACATCACCTGCATATTCTGTATACATGTTCCATCACAGCTTTTTAGGAATTTTCTAAAGAAGTCCACATTATAGAGTGTTAATGTGTCAAGAAAAAGACTGCTACAAAGTACTGCTTAAGGCTTTTGTGCATCCTAATAATGAGCAACATAGTTTTCTTAGCTGTCAAACAGTGTAGTTCCAAGCAAGCTTACGGGATTTCTCCAGAATACAACATGTTACAATCCTGACTGTGCTCTTTATATCACAGCCCGTGAGGGCCTCAAATGTAAGACGTTTTAGTGTCGATCTGTTTCCCGGCGTCAGAAATGAAATTTAACAATATAGGCTGCTGGATGTTGGGGAATATGACAGCACTTTTAAAAGATAGTCACTATTTAACTTACACCGACTATGCAGTCATTTATGTTCGGTGGTGGCTCTTTTGGTTTCCCTCTTCCAAACAGCCTATTCATCCTTCGGATATTTTAAATTAATCACTACCACAAACACAAGTACTCCTAACCACACGCCAAGACTAACTGACTAACATTTACAATTTACAATTACTGAAATCCCACGAATCATAGCAACAACCAATTTCTATAATCCCATGAATCATAGCAACAACGTATTTACTTCGCGATAATCACGTGATCATTCCAAAGAGATAAAGAAACGGGAAAGGATTGGGATTGTTAATGCAATGTAGACATGAAAACGGTAGTCAGTGGTGTATATTCCGAATCCGAATAGGTAACTGGCAATGAAATGTCAGGGTCGTCAGGGTTTACCATACACAACTTGCTGCAACTAGACGGTCAAATAATTCAGTTAAGCTGATGGTCGAATCTGACTAGTTGCCGCAAGAAGAAATATATACCGTGGTCCATCCAACAATTGCTAGGTGTAGAATTTGGTTGATTACCGTGGGTGTTGTATATGTGACAATTCCAAAGAGTAACGATTTAATGCATGGTGCGTAGAGTGCAAAGAACGCAAAGAATGTTGAGGTTAATGGTTTTTTTAGTTTGTTGAAAAATGCCCTCGAATAGCTGCAGCTAATTTAAATTTGGAATCTGTTGTGCGTAACAATATCAAAACGAAAAATTTAAGTCATTTTTATTTGTGCCAGGTATAGGAATGTTACGTCGCTCTTCAAGGTTGTTGATGGAAGCTGTTCAGAATAATGTTAAGACAAATAGTGGATGTGTAACAAAGCCAATAAGTACAGATACGTTGGTGGTGAAACATGATGATGTGAACCAGTTGTTTTACATCCAGCTGGACACTGGTATGGCTGTTACATCGCAGGATTTGTTGCACAACTAAAGGCCCTCAAAATGGTGTTTTCATTTTTTGTATGAAATTGCACGGCAATAATCCAATATATGTATATTACAATCTATAGAAATAAAAGCAGAAAATAAAAGTGATGAAACCAAGACCACAATAACAAGGCACAACACTGTACTCCATCCTGAACCATTTGGCTTCTTTACAGTGTTATAATGCATGTTGATATTCTGAAGTTGCATGAAGCCCTATGTTTACATTGAACCATTAACATATTTGGAAGAATGCAGAAGGATATGAGTAGAATTAATGATGACCACCTGACAGTAACTAGAGAACGTGTTAAGTAAGGTTTTCTCAGTTTGTGATGCCACACTCCCCTAAAATGACAAAAATTAATGCGACTCCATCTCCCATCTTTGCCAGTGAGCAAAAAGTGCAGTTGTGCACATTGTTACTGGTTTGTATCAGGCGGCGTGGTGACAACAGGAACCTAAACAGGCCAAATATCTCAAAAACTTGTACACCCTAAACATATTCCAGCAAGGGAGAGAAAGGAAAAAGACTGCCTCAGCAAAATTTTTTGCTGACTAGTGGTACAATTTCCAAGGCACCTATTTTAATTCTTTCTTACCAAAATTGTGTACGGATATAACGGTACTGTATTCCTTGAGGATTTGGTAACTTGTCTCCCCTTTACAAGGTAATGGCCCCCTGGGGAAATTATGATCCACACTTTGAGAAACCATGTATTGTATTGAATTGTATTTATTACACGTTCCAGCACATCCATACAAGGCTGAAGCCATTGGATACAGAACCTGTCACACCACAAGCTTGCCAAATCAGCAAGTAGTCAACAGAACAATGCATATAAATCCACAGCAGTAAATCAAGCATATGAACCCCCTACACATTACTGCAACTACATAACCTACTATGTGTATATAAAATATAATACAAAACTGGAACATATACATGACAATAGATCAAATAATGGGTAATAGCTAATCAAGAAACTATCCATAATTAAAATATTCATCTAAAGTGTAATAGGATTCAGTATGTAAAAAAGCACCTAAAGCTGCTCTAAATTGCTTAATATTATGGATTAACTATTTTATATTTAAAGGAAGATGATTAAAAAGTTTAATATCAAAATAATAAGGTCCTCTCTGGTAAGTTGTCAAATTTGTATGAGGACGATAAAGATCAAAATTATGCCTAGTATTAAGGCCATGAATTTGTGATGTTGTGTGATATAGCCCATATTATTTGCAACAAACATCAATAAAGAAGAGATATATTGGGACTGCAATGGCAAAATTCCCCAATCCCTGAATGCATCTCTACAAGGGTCCCTATATCTCAACCCACTCCTGGTTCTAATCATTCTCTTTTGAACTCTGAAAATGTGCATACTATAAGAAAAATTGCCCCCAAAAATAATTCCATACGACAAAAGTGAATGGAAATAAGAGTGATATACCATTTTTAATGTCTCTGTGGGCATAATGGGCTTCATCACCCTCACTGAGTAACAAGCCTTGCACAATTTAGGCATGAGTTGGGATATATGAGCTTTCAGTAGCTAATCCCAAGAATTTCACATTTGTACTGCTTAAAATCACATTACTATTCCATTCCATTCTT